GAAAATAGCTGAGACTCTTCTCCCTAGGCGAGAAGGAGGAATTCCCACCCATCCTTTAAAGACCAATTCAAACACTGCCTCCTAATGAAGTCTTCTGTTATTGAGTGGCCTGCTCAGTAACAACCTTCATCCTCAGACCTTGCCTAACACTCTAGCATATGCCTGAATAATAGCTAGAATTTAGATGACATTCGAAGGTTTGCAAAGTGCTTTACAAATATCTCATTTTATCCTCACAATGACCCTGGGAAGTAGGGGTTATTATTATATTATCTCCATTTTACAGATAGGGAAACTGAGGCAGACAGTGTGTGTGGGGGTTGTCTCACTGGTGTGTGATAGTGACTTGCCCAGGGTCACACAGTTAGTCTGATGCCTGGTATGAACTAAGTTTTTACCAACTCCAAGTCTAGCTTGTTATCCATTGTGCCACTTAGCTGCTTCAATTCACTGATAAGTCATTGATTGAGTGTTGTTGTTTGTGATTGTGTCCTATTCCCCTATCAGACAGTAAACTCCTGGGGCTGTGTCTTATTGAAACTTTGTATCTCCCCCAGTGTCTAATGCAGTGCTCTGCACACAGAATTTGATAAATATTTGTTAAATTTAGTTTGACAGGTAGCATAGCATTCTGGTTGGAAAAGAGAATGGGAAGGTAGATATTAATAATAGCTGACGTTTATATAGGGTATCTCAAAAGTCTTAGATTTTGGGATACCTTGTATATGGCTTTAAGGTGTTCAAAGCTCTTTATGTACATTGCTTCATTTGATTTTTGAAACAACTTTGTCAGGCAGGTACAAATCGATTGTTATCCCCATTTTACAGAAAACCAAAACTCATAGAGATGGAATGACTTGCCCATGGTTACATGGCTATGAAATATCTGAGGCAGAATTTGAACCCAGGCCTTTCTTGACTTAAAGTCCAGTGCTCTTTCCACTATGATATGTTGCTTCTCTGTGATGAAATCATTGAGAAAGTTTGAGGCCAAAAAACTTTCCCAGACCCACCATCTCCTCACATTGGTTTTCTATCTCTCTTCTGCTTTTCATTGCCAAACTCCTGGAAAGATTCATATATATTCACTGTCTTCACTTCTTTACCATCAGCTCACTTCTCCTCCCTTTCCAGTCTGATTAAAAACCCCACTACTCAGGTGAAACTATTACATCAATATTCTTTTCTCTATCTTCTTCCTTATTGTAGTGAATCATTTGACACTATCAGTCACTCCCTTCCATTTGAATATGCTCTTCCCATTTGACTTTCATGACGTTGCTTTCTCCTGGTTTTCTTCCTATTTTTCTTACTGTTCCTTCTCAAAATCCTTTGTTGGATCATCACCCATCTCCTACCTCCTAAGCATGGGTGTCTACCAAGCCTTTGATCTCATCCACCTCATTGGTTAAATTATCTTTTTTATGTAGATACTTTGCCCATCAATAAAGCCAACTTTAATCAATCTAAGCTCATCTTGCACCTCAAACTGACTGCTGTATATATCTACCCATATGTTCCATCTGAAGCTCAGACTTCACATGTTCCACCCCAATCCCACCTCTTCTCCAAACTACTCTAATTCTGTTGAAGGCATCATCAATTTCCCAATAACCTAAGATCAAAACTTTTCAACCATCCTCAACTCCTCTGTTTATCACTTCCTACATCCAATTGGTTGCTAAATCTTATTGATTCTGCCTCTACATCTTCTTTCACATTCATTCCCTTCTTTTCTACTCACACAGCCTCTACCCATATTCAGACCCTCTTTATTTCTCTCTTGGACTGTTGTAATAATCTCCTATTTGATCTCCTTGCTTCTAGGCTCTTCTGGCTCTAATTCATCCTTCACACAGCTGCCAAAATGATTTTCTAAAGCCCAAGTATGACCATGTCACTTTCCTTAAAACTTCTCAGTGGCTCTGTATTGCACCTAGGGTAAAATACATACTCCTCAGCCTGGCATTTGAGAAGCTTGGAGATGTGGTTCCAATATAGCTATCATTTCACATTACTCCTCATGATACACTCATGTTCTAGCCAAGTCAGATCTCAAGAGATGGTAAGCTCCTTGAGGACAGCGACTGAAAATTTTTGTCTTTGAATCCTTTGTTCCAGTGTCTTGAACATAGTAGATGATTAATAAAATATTTTTTGAATTGAATTACTGAAGGAATTAGAGACAGGGGCCTCTCTGAACCCAGGCATTTAATGTTTGTAAAGCATAACACTTTTTAATAATCCAGCTCTCCTAATCTAGCCATCTGTACCTCCTGCTGCTTACCGAGGGCCTCATCTATTAACTCCCAATTATGCCAACTAACTTCCAAATTGTCTTGTGCTGAGGACTGAAGCTATTGCTTTGCTGTGAGGTTTTTGCTGACACCTTCACTGTCTCCTAGATTGAAACACCTTACACAATCACTCCCTGTTTTGTTCCCCTCCCTATTCTCTCTTCCCTTTCCACCTAGTTAGTAATGGTGAGGTCACACTCAGCCTCTCCAACTCCCATGTCTCACCTTACAGAAAGACTGATGATTTTCAAAGGTGAAACACAGACTTTATGTTTATTGGTAGGAGAGAGGGAAGGCAGGACAAGGAAGGAGAAAGATAGAGAAAATAAGAGTACGTATGAACAAGTGAGAACATGAGTGTCAAAGTATTGGCATGAGAGAGTTCAAGTTCATATTAGCAGGATTGGAAGATGTGTGTTTGTGTGTGTATGTTTGTGTGTGTGTTTGGGGGGGAGTGATGTTGAGAGGACTAAGAGAGGGTGGTACCATGGAAAGAGTGCTGAATTTGGAGTCAGGGGACTTGGGTTCTAATCTTGACTCTGCTACTTACTATTTGTATGACCCTGGGCAAATCATCATTTCTTTGGGCTTCAGTTTTCTCTTTTATCAAATGGGGAGGGCTCATAAGGTCCCTCCCACCTCTAAATCTATGATCCTAGAGTGTAGGTCCAACTCTGGGAGTGTTTCTATGTGTGACAGTACCATTTGGAGAGCAGGATAGAGCTGGAAAGGGTACAGACATCTTTTTTTTTTTTTGGCAATTGGGGTTTAGTGACTTGCCCAACGTCACACAGCTAGTAAGTGTTTGGTCTGAGGCCATATTTAAACTCGGGTCCTTCTGACTTCAGGGCCTGTGTTCTATCCACTGCACCACTTAGCTGACCCCGTACAGACATCTTTGTCACACAATGAGAGACTGTGTGAGGGGACAAGCATGAGAGCAAGTATGTCAGTGTTAGCTAAATGTGTTTTCTAAACCCTCCCCTCCCCACCTCTTTTTAGAAAGGATGAGACTGGTGGACCCTGGTCAAGAGTGATGAAAAATTCAAGAACCCTTCTGGCAGGAGGGAACGAAAGAGGGAGGAATCTAAGGAGGGAAAGACCTTTCCCTCAGGGCTTCTCCAAAGGAAATAAATGTAACCCCAGCACATTCAGGACCAAGAGGGGATACTTTTACAGGAGTCCAGAGAATTGGGGTTTTAGAACCCATGTGGGTCAGAGAGCCAAGGGCATCCAACCGAGGTTGGTCAAAGCGGTGGAAGATGCCATTACCTGTCTCCTACCATCAGGATGAGGGTTTCGAAAGGCCTCAGTCAGACCACACAGGCAGTGAAACCTGCACAGCCTGTGGAGTGAGCTGGTTTCCCAGTGCTGCTGGCAGAACCTTGGCTTGGTATGGGACTGGTTCAACATTCTGTCTAGGCTGAGGGCTGGGAGGATGTGGGGCTGGAAGACCCCCAGGCCTCAGGGTAGAAAGCACTGTGGCCAGGGCTCCTCCCGACCTGCTCAAGGCTCCCTTCTGGAATCCTAGAGCTCATGGGAAGTCATCTAGCTTGTTCATCTCCTAGGGAGACTAGCAGCCAAATCATGCTGCACACACACATCTGTTTTGCATTCAAACACTTTGAGTAAGCAGATGAGTCTGTAAACTCCCCTCACCTTCCCTAACAGTGTTTAATGACCTTTACTGTTGGGAATTCCTTTATCACATCTCACCTAAACCTTTCCAGCTATAGTTGAAGAAATTCCTTATTTAGCTTAGGGTGAATGTGGAGGACTTCGCCATGAAGCTCAGCAGACTCCCCAGGTATAACATGCTCCTTTCTCCTTCATCCCTATAAATCAGTCGATGATAGCTAGGGGGAATCCAGAGGTTTTAGCTGTGGAGTGTTTGCTCAGGGCTTGAAATTTCCCTGCTCCTATGTCAGAAGGCCTGACCCCTGTAGGGGATTTCCAAGATTAGGGCTATACTGAAAGGTGTCTATAGCCTCGTCAAGTCACGATGAAGATAAATGAGAAGAGGGGTTGTCCGTAGGCTCTTTACCAATTGCTCACTCATACCCAGGCCCTCAACTAACTACTCTTCTTGCTTCTCATACAACTTAGATTTTGCCTCCAGCCAAGTTAACTGGCTCCTCACCCTCTCCATTTCCTAACACCCAACATGTCACCTTCTCCTTTCTCCAAGCCTTCATAGAGGCTCATAGCCCTGCTCCATCTAATATCTCTCAAGAAACTCACAGCTCCTATTTGCCTCATTTTGACCTTTCTTAGAGAAATTCCTTTCCCTTTTAGATAAGTCTTTCCTTACCAAGATCAGTCCTACTGCCTCAGTTGCCTTTAGACACTAAAGTACTTGTGTTGGCACCATTGCTGAGTTGCTCCCTTAGGGCAACTTCCCTTCTCTGGGGCTTCCCCACAAAGCCAAGTATCAGACATTAAGGGAGGCCCATGTAACCCATAACTGGATCATATTGACTGAATTGCCTACAAATTTCCTCTGTGCTAAGTTTGTTGGTTTGGGGAGGGTAGGAGCATATCTTTTTTTATGTGTTGTATTATACATGGTTTACATTTGGTTCTAAATTTCACATTTGGTCCTAAATTTGCCCCATTTGTCTATCTGTTCTTTTAGTGAACCAAGTTCTTCCTGCAACCCAGACTTCATGGAATTACTTTTGACCTAGATAAGAAAGTCCTTACCTGTCTGTTGAAGTCCAAGCCATTTCGATCGCTTCCTGGAATGGAAAGAAAACAATTAGTCACTTGAGAGGCATCAGGAGAGACAGAAAGCTAGTAGAGAAACAAAACATTATGGAGAAGGATTGTCTTCACTTTCAAAGAGAAACAAAAATCCACTTCTTTTTTGACCAAGTGCTTTCAACTTACCTCATTCCCTCAAACACAGAAACCCTGGAAGTCTCATCAACCTATCATATAGCTAGTGAAAGAGAGGAGAAGGAAAATGATTTTTACCAAGTTCACTTATCAGATTTGGGATTTGAACTGGAGACAACGGCTTCTTTTCTGCTACCCAGTCTTCTGAGCTATCTACTACTGCTTAGGAATCATCTCTAAAACCCTTCTTACATGCATGAGCAAGAACAAATCAACTGTAGGATCCTGTGACTCAAAGGGATTTCTGTAAGTCATCCTGTCCCTCCTCCTCCTCCTCCAGGCGGGACTCTAGTGAAGCCACACCAGAGGGATGGATGTCAGTCCTGTTCTTACAAATCTCCAGGGAAAGAGATTCTGTAACTTTCCTGTGGACCCAGATACAATATTTTGGGATCATTGCCATTAGGAAATTGGTGTCTTTCCCCCCGTGGGAGCTAACTGTAAATTCGTCTTGTCTCAACTTATATTCACTTTTGAATCCTGACTCTCTAAGTGACTTTGGACAAGTTACTTAATATCTCTGAGCTTCAGTTTCCTCATCTAGAGGTGAGATTGAATGTACGGTTGCTATCAGGAAGAGGATACTTTCTCTACTTCAAGGACCAGGCTCTCTTTGGCCACTCTTCTCTTTCTCTTTCTCTTTCCCCCACGTAAAATGAGAGATTGGATGAAATTATCTCCAAGATCCCTTTCATTCCTAAATCTATAATTCTATACAGACAGCAGTCTTGGAGATATCTTTCCCTGTCTTTTTTTTTTTTGTCTACTTAAGAGTGATTTTTAGATAACAGTTAAGTTATCAGGCAGAAAGTTGAAAATGGACTCTGCTACACCTGAGAAAGCTGAAGTGTGCAGAATGAGCACTGGGGTTTAGAGGGAGGAGAGCTCAAGTTCTGCCTCTGACATTGCCTGGGTAATGTTGGGCAGGTCACTCAAATAGCTCTGAGCCTTTGTTTCCTCATAAATAAAATAGGGACAATAATCCCTGTTACCTCTCTCATAAGGTTGTGAAGAGCAAATGAGGTAATGTATGTGAAGGGCTTTGCAAACCTTAAAACATTCTATATAAATATCAGTAGTGGAGTCAGAAAATGTGGGCTTTGTCCCTGGCTTGAGCATTTACTAACTGTATGACCTTGGGCAAAACGCAGTCTCCCTGAGCCTTCATTTTCTCTTCTATAAACAGAGGGTAATTTTCCTACCTGCTTCATAGGGGCACTGTAAGAAGAGTGCCTTATAAACCTTAAACACTAAATAAATACAAGTTGTTATTTATTATCATTATTAATTGGTCCGTGTGGAAGATTGATCCCAAGAGCTAGTAGAAAAGTAAACAGGCTTTCAAGATAGTTAAGATGGGTTCCACCTGGTACCACTTCTCCCAACCTATCTGGAAGAGAAGGCCAAGGAGAGTAGAGCTAAAATTTGGAACTGTGGGGCTTAAGTTTTAGAGAAGGACTGCACAAGCTGTGGCCTACCAAAGGATTTTGGGCAGCCCACGAAAAACAGAGGCAAACAGCTTTTATATGTAGAGGAAATCCTTTGAGGGACCTGGTTGCACAGGCCTGCTTTAGAGGAATCTAGGTTAGTTCTTTCCAGGCCTCAATTTACTCCTCTGGAAAACATTTTGTCCTAGAACTTTGAGGAGAGACAATTGTTCCAAATGTTCCAAACATGTACTGTGTTCCAAATATGAATCAGCCTCCACCATAAAATGACCCATCCCTCTTTGTGATGCCTCTGGAAGGAGTTGGGAAGCTTAATATCTGATTTTGCTTAGAAATAAAGTTGACTTCAAACTTTACCAGAGTTGGACAGGCAAGTTTGATTATCAGTACTCATGGGAAGGTATGAACATTACAATGTCATCCAGAAATCACACTTGTGTCTTTTCTTCCAATCTTTTCTTCCACTAATTCTTTCCCCAAGGATGTCCACAAATACCTCCATTAAAGTCTTAACCCAATGTCTTCTTGTGGAGGTGACCTTGATTCTTAAAGGCTCTTTCACTGGAATGGAAACACTGGTAGGTCCTACCAAGCTGGACAAGTTTTCAGCATGGGCCCAGCGACAACAGGTATTGTCCAAAGACCAGCCTAGTTAGTGCTGGTGATGTTTATCACCCAAAAGTTGGCCACCGTATAATGAACATTTTTTGGTTCCAGTACTTCACTGAGACCAAGGAGTAAGGTGTAGAACTGTGCAACAGTGGAGGGGGCATCCATAACAATTAGTGACTGAGGTTTATAAGTAGCAGGCCTGTCCCCTGACCACTTTCTGGGGAAGGTGTAGATAAGTAATACAATAACTCAAATTCAAGAGGGAGAAAGGAGAGAAAGGCCAAAGATTTGTATAATCTTTGCGATTTACTATTCTACTCCTGAATAATGGAGAGTTGACTGCAAAGATCAAAACAGCATCATTATCACCATCAAGAAAAAAGGCTACTTAGTGGTTATGGACATACAGGTCACTAAGGAAAGCAAGTTCCCTAGAACTGTTCTTTCTGGGTTTAAAATTATTGACTTGGGGAATAATGGAAAAGACATAGACTCATAGGGTTAGATTTGGAAGGGATCTTTGAGGTCATTTAAGGCAACGTGGTTAGAGTAGAGAGAGCAGGATAAGGAATCAAAAGATCTGGATTGGATTTCTTATTATAGAATGTAAGCTTTTGGAAGGCAGGGACTGCTTCATTTTTGTCTTTGTTTCCCCAGGGTCTGTCCCAGTACCTTCCATATTTGTTGTCCAGGCATTTTCAGTCATGTCTGACTCTTCATAACCCCATTTGGGGTTTTCTTGGCAAAGATACTAGAGAGGTTTGCCATTTCCTTCCATTTTACAGATAAGGAAATGGGGCAAACAGTGTTAAGTGACTTGACCAGGGTCACACAGCTAGTAAGTATCTGAGGCCAGATTTGAACTCAGGAAGATGTCTTCCTTACTCCAGGCACTTTATCCACTGTACCACTTAGCTGCCCCATCTTACATATAGTAAGTATTTAATAAATCTTCATTAACTTTGTTGTTAAATTCCTGATTCTGTCTTGGGGAAGACATGTTGGTTTTCAGAGCCCCAGTTTCCTATATGTAAAATGGAAGTGATAATTGCACTCATTACTTCATGGAGTTGTTGAGGTTCGAAATAGAGAATACATAAAACGCATTTTGTAAACTATGTTACAAAAGTGTCAGATTTATTATCTAGTCCAACCCAGCCTCCTTTCACAGATATGGAAACTAAGTCCCAGGGAATTGAAGCAATTTACCCATGGTCACATAGCTGGTTAGTAGTAAAGCCAAGATTCAACCTTGGTGTCTTGATTCCCCATCTCATACTTTTTCCATTACACTAAGTTACCTCTTATATTTAACACAAAGTAAGTGAGTAATAAACATCACTAGCAATGTTTTTGTGAAGACATAGAAGACAAGCTTATTAAACCTGATAAGGGCAGAAAGATTGGAGGGACTGACTGATATGCAAAATGAAAGAGTCATAATTTCAAAGTATATATGAGTTGAAACTGGGTACGATCAAATTGTATAGAGATAAATCTAAGGTTCTACATTTAGGTCCAAAAAATCACTTGTACAAGTATATGATAAAAGTTTGAATCAATGGGGAAAAAGAAAACAACACTTTGGTTCTAGTGGACTACAGACTCAATGTGAATCAGCAGTATGATACAGCAGCCTCAATGATAATTAAGTCTTAGGCTGCCTTAATAGTGGTCTGATCAAATCATGGTACCAGTATTATGTTGAATTCTAGTTACTATATATTTGCAAATGGAGTCCATCCAGAAGAGAGTTCCAGGGATGATGAGGACACTAGAAACCATGTCAATCAACCAACCAACAAGTATTTACTAAGTACCCTCTTTTGTACCAGGTATTGTGCTAGGTACTAGAGATACAAAGACAAAAGTTCAACAGTCCCTGCCCTCAGGGAGCTTACATTCTGATGGGAGAGAATGCATATTCTATATGTACATTCTGACATGCCCATATAGAATACATAAAAGACAGATACAAGGTACTTTGAAAGGGAAGGCACATAGCTGGGGAGGCTGGTGGTACAAAAACTGTGCTTGTGCTCAGCCTTGAAGGAAACCAGAGGCAGAGGGGAGAAAGAACAGCCCAAACATTAGTTGTAATCAGTACAAAGTTATGGAGATAGGTGATGGAGTCTTGTGTTGTGAGGAAGAGCAAAAGACCTTTGTGGCTGAACCGAAGAGTACATGAGAAGCAGTAAGAAGGCTAGAAAAGTAGGAGGGGTAAAGTTGCTAGTGTTTGTCCTTCATTGTTGAAGAGGACCATGATATCACGGAGGTAATGCCATGACAAGCAAGTGAATTGGGTTTAAGTGAAGGAGGGCTGTGCAAAGTCTCTATCCTCACTTTCTCCTCCAGAGCCATCTGGATCCAGTGGCCAGATATAGATCAGAACGACTGAAGATGGCCTGCAAGAGGGGAGAGGGGTAAAGTATTGAAGAGCTTTAAATACTAAGCAGAAAAGTTCGTTGTTAATCCTAGAGGTAAGAGGGAGCCCTAGAGTTTATTGAGTGGGGGATGGAGATGTGATCAAAGCTGCGCTTTGGTAAAATAACTGGTGGCTGCGTGGAGGGTATTGGAGTGGTGAGACACTAGAGGCAGCAAAGAGGCCAATTAGGAGGTTATGGTAATAGTCCAGGTGCTGAGGTGATGGGGGCTTGAATAAAAGTGGTGGCCATTTGAGTGGAGGGAAAGGGACACGTGCAAGAAAAAAAGAAACAAAAGTTGGCAACTGATGCCATATGAGGAATGGTTGACTGTGGATATTCAGTCTAGAAAAGAGA